GTGGCTCCATCTGTGAAAGCACAGCCTGTGGAAAACCCGATATCAGCCAAAATCCCATCGGCTATAGGCGAGTATTAGCTGCGGTCCCATTTGATTTCGCTGTAGCTTGGTCAACAGTTCTTTTATAAAAGCATTCCTCACGTTTGTTTTAGGTCTTGCACAGCATTACTATATGAAGCCTAAGAGAGCCGCCGCCACAAGGCAGCCGAGCAGCTCAGGAGAGAGCGTCACTGACCACCAGCAGGAGCCCAGCAGATCTCAACCACTCAACCTCAGTCAGGTGACCGCTTCTGTCGATGCTCCGCGCCGCAGTGTATCGTGAAGAACGTGTGGTTCAGTTTCTGTTTTCCTTTTTCCAGACCACTGTCTCCTCGTCCCAAGAACCATCCGGTGGCTCATCCTCCCTGCGCCGACAGCAAACATACCCGCCTGCCTCCTCTCGTTACTGTCTCCAGAAGACCCCGTCGTTCACCAGCACCCCCAGCCTCTACACCTACCCCACCCCCGTGTCCCACATGGAGCGCCTGCTCGTACAAGGCTCCTCCCCCTCCATGCACGCCCCGCCCACTAGTCACTATGCAGCCAGTCTTATCCCAAAGGACTCCATTGGAAGCGTGGTCCACGGACTCTCCGCCCACTACCAGCAACATTACCCCGCCCATCCTTACATCAGCACCAGCACCACTAGAGGAAGCGGGGCGTACAGCGGCTATCAGCTCAGCCCGCGGAGGGTCCCTCAGTACCCCTACATATGACACACACAGACTGATGTCACGTAGGGCCACGTCTTCAGATTTTACGACCGTCAGACCTGCCGTCAACTGCTGCAACTGGTTTGATCTGTCCTATTTATGTTTTAGAATGTTAATATTTAGAAATCTATTATGTCGTTTTGCATCCGTTTACTGAGAAATCCAGTGTCCGGTTAGGTAAGTTTATTTTCTTAGCTCAAGGAACGCTGACGTGTTTTTAATCCGTAAGCAATAGCGGAATAATGCTGACATAAAGGAACAGGGATCGTAACGCCGTAGATTCGTCTGTTCGACTAAAATCCTTACACTAACCCTTGACTCGTTTATACTCCTTTTTGTTTTTAGATTCAATGTCGTGTTTTTGTTGTCGTAGGATCTCTTGTTTTTAAGTTATGTTTGATTGTGAAGCTGACTGGTTCTCAACCACTTTACTGGAAGGTCAAGATGTGGAAAGGAAAAAAAAATGTTATGTGCCCTGGTCATATTGGTATTTAAGTTAGAGCTATATGTTAGTCAAATCAAAGTCCTGGTAGAATCGTAGAGTGTATGTTGTGAGGAATATCAGTGGATATAAAGGAGTAACATCAACTTCCCATCAAGTTTTTATTTTATTGTATTTATTTTTTAGCTAAAATTGTTTAATGATGTCAATACTCTCCTTGGAGAACAGGGGGGGGGTAAAGATATTTAACAGAAGAGCTGGGATGTCAAAGCCAATGAAAATGTGATGCTACTTCGGAAACCATAATTACACACCGATGATTGGTTTTTT